ACTTCATTTCACCTCAGGATATCACCCAGAAGCCGATGGACAAACGGAACGAGTCAACCAAACTCTGGAACAGTACATCCGGATTTACTGTGCATACCAACAGGACGATTGGGCGAAACTCCTACCGATCGCGGAGTTCGCGTACAACAACGCTCCTAATGCCTCTACCGGTTTATCTCCGTTCTTCGCGAACAAAGGCTATCACCCAAATATCACGGTAAGACCCGAAATTGACATTCGCTCCGACCGAGCAATGGATTTCGCAGTTAATCTTGATGAGCTTCACTCTTTCCTCCGAGACGAAATTACTAACGCGCAAGCTCGATACAAAGAGCAAGCGGACAGAAAACGAATTACTCACCCTGAATTCCCTATTCATTCACAGGTTTATGTGCTGGCAAAGCACATCCGGACAACGCGACCCACCGACAAATTCGCCGAAAAGTACCTCGGACCTTTCACCATACTCGAGCAAGTCGGTACTCTCTCCTACAAACTCCAACTTCCATCCTACCTAAACCGTATCCACCCCGTCTTCCATGTATCCCAACTAGAGCCATACAAACCAAACACCATTCCCGATCGCGTTCAACCCCCGCCGCCTCCTGTTGAGGTCGACGGCGAGGAGGAATACAACATCGCGGAAGTATTGGACTCGAAATTGGATCGACGATACAAGAAATGCCCACTACGATACTACATTCGTTGGGCAGGATACGAGGGTACGGACGAAGAATTCTCCTGGGTCGCCGCGAACGAAATTCACGCGGACGAACTTGTCCCGGCTTTCCACCTTCGTTACCCTCACAAACCTGGTCCACTATGATCTCTACTTATTTCCCTTACGTATACATCGATTCCTCCTCACTTCTATCACGTCTCTCACCTCATTTACTTATTAATCATGATTCCCTCAAATTCATTCTTCCCCGCGGCGATTATCGTCGCGACGATCCATGACTTATATACTAAATCTCTTTTTCCCCCGAAAATCCCCGCGATTCTCGTTCCGTCATTTTCCTTACTTATAGAACTCTCAACAAAACAAAACAAGCAACAAAACACCAATCACCATTTATGAACAACATAAAGACAAAAAACTACAAAGTAAAGTGTTGAATAGAATTATGTAGCTAGATAGTCCACCGCGGAGGTTCACTCCGCGCGCCTTTTTCCCTCGCGGATTTTGGCTCTCCTCTCCTCTTCGTTCTCGGCTTCCTCCTCATCTTCTTCACCTTCTCCATCTTCATCTTCTTCTGGTTCTGCCTCTTCTTTTCTACCAAGTTGATTTTCTCCTATCCTTTCCAAAATCGTCGCGATTCGTTCGAGAGCCGTGGCAGACCGGCTCGCGTATCTCTCCAGAGCTCCGAGACGTTGCTCAACTCGATCAAACCGATCGACGACCTCCGAACCCCCAAGACTCCGTGCCGCGACTCTACTCGCAGGACCCTCATAAACTTCCTCTTCCTCGATCTTTGCCCGTTTTCCTCGCGCTCGACGGGAAGCGTTGTCCCCGGACCAGCTACACCGCTGTCGTTGCAGGTGACAAAGCTTGCAAGCCTGAGTTCTTCGACGCGTCGATTGCGGACGACATTCATCGGACTTTCCTATTAGCACACATCGCGAGCATGCGGGACGAGTTGTCGAGGGGTCCAAGGGGAAGCAGGATCTTCATCTTCATTGTCGTTACCGTCCTCCGGATCGAAATCATCATCCACAGCGGGGGTTTTATTAACCTAGAGAGAGGAGTAAGAGAATGCAAAAACAACGAAGGAACTAACCTCACTCACCATCACGATCATTTTGGTCGTTCTTTTCCTCTTCACTCCTCGCGGAGTTGCTTCTCGCTCTTTCTCTACCCCCGCATCATCCGAGTCGTCGGAGATTACGGATTTGGACTTGAAGGATGTTTTCTTGGAACCCGACGATCGCGGCGGTGGAACAACATCGACCTGACGCTGTTTAGCAGCAGGGATGGGTTTTGTTCGTTTCGCCAACTCTCTCGCGGCTTTCTCTTTCTCCTTCTTGTTTTCCTCCACCAATTTCAAATATGCTTGTTCCCGGACTTGTTTTTCCTCCGCTTCTGCCGCGGCTTCGTCTGCTAACCTTGCTTCTTCTCTTCGTTTGACTTCCGCGAGTCGCATCTCCTCGACCTTCTTCTTCTCGGCAATTGCTTCCTGCTTTTTCCTCTGTTCTTCGAATACCCTTCTCTCCTCTTCCATCCTTCGCTCCTCGGCCTGACGTTTTTCCTCCACGACCCTCTTCTCCTCGGCCTCTCGAGCTGCTTCCTCCTCGAGTCGATCCATTTCCGCCGCGAACTCAGCTTCTTGCCTTGCAATCTCCAATTCGCGAGCCCGTTGCCTTTCAGCTTGCGCGAGGAGAAGCCGCTCCCGACGTTGTTGTGCAGTGTCGTTGTTGGGAGTAGGGGAAGACATGGTGAGCAGGGAGGGGGACTTACCAGAATTTTTGAACCAGCCCTGTCTTTATATGCTTCGCGACTTAAGGGCCGTTTCAACTTACAATTTTTCACTCTTCTTCGTTTTTCACATCACATCACAATTTTTAAACTTTGATCCCCGTTGCTTCTAATCATTCACATCTATTTTAGTCATACTACTGTTCAGGATCTCGAGGGCTCGATCCTAACGGGGGGCACTGTTACGACCATGCCAAGTTCAACTCCCGCGGGCTCGACGATCATTCCCGGTAATTGACTTTATTATTCTCTTCCGTCGCGGAGCTTACCTCCGCGATCCCGTTACACTTTGATTTTATATCCCTCACACTTAGCCGACTTTTTATATATCCTTTTATATCATTTCCTTTATACTTTCTCCTTTTATCTTCCACATGTCCGACCATACTATTCTAGGATACCATCGCTTAGCGACCCTTAGGTAGCTACTACAGTATAAAGCTACGAGAGTAGAATAGTTGGTCCTTAGTTTAAATATCGACTTTGATAGCGCACTCATACAGTGTATTTCAAATAGAGTTAAATCTCAACCTCATCCTAAGTACGATCGCGTGAGTTCCTCCCGCGATCGGAATTACCCTCAACCTCGCTTTCGGACAGCGGCGTGTCGGGGACGCTATTAATAGTAGCGTCAACGTCCGACTACCTCTCCGTAGGTCCACTCTACCCTCACCGGGATTTATCTCGGTGTTCGGTCTTTTACCCCGCAGACTTATAGTCCGCGATCCACACTTATCTCCTACGACCGTGCATGATCATAACACACCCCCTTGGTGTGTTCTGAGAATCAACTTACTTATGTTTGTCTTACAACTTGAACATCAATGGTGGTCATATAGTTTGGCAAGGATTGATGTATTGATCAAGAAAAAGGAGGGTAATAGTAGATGCATCTTTTTGGTTTGGTGCATTCTATTCCTGGCTTCATTGCAAAGGGCTTTATGCTGTGTTTTTCATGAATAATTGGGTGGTGAATATCTGGACTATCTAATATTCTCCTTTTGGTAATTGTAGGGGTTTTTCAAAATATTTGACACTTGATTATTGGGAGAATTTTGTACATGAACTCAGCATAACATCAGCTTCTTGTGGCAAGTAGATGTGCTAATCCCTGTAGTGTCAAATTGTTTCGACCATTGGAGGATGGTTGGGGTCTATGACGCAACAAAGATGACTTGTTCATTCCATGTTTCCTTTGAGTCTCTCTCCCTTTGTTCATAGTTTTGATATATAGACCTGCGGCGTGGTGAAGTCTTTCTTCGTCCTCTCACCATTGCTCGCAGGTATGTACCTACTTCGCTTATCTATCTTCATAGTTACTTATGTCCTCTCACCATCGCTCGCAGCAATTCATATGTGTTCTGTTACAAAATTCTCCCTCCCTCCTCCCTCAGACTGTTACGCCTGTGCCAGACCAATCGACCAACCTTCCGATCGAATCGATAGTCGATTCATTCTGATACTTAGGCCGGACCTTTCCGGTCAGTCTTCCGGTCGGATCGATCGTCAAATGCCTCCGGATCAACAATCGAATACTTCCGAATCAACAATCGAATAATTCCAGATCGATAACCGAATGACTTATTCGCATTTCCGGAGCTTTCGCATTCATTATCAGCTCCGTATCTTCGATTCTATTCTCGATAGCTTCGGACAGCTTCAAAAGGTATTTGTCCGAGATTCCCACGCCCTTATTGTCTTATATTTCACCTCGGGTAAACCTTTATATTGCTTATTGTTCTTTATTTAACAATTAGACAATTTACTACTTAAGTACACTGTTTAGTATTGTTTCCCCAGCTTGAAATAAAAGTTACCTTCTATCCTTCTTCTATATTACGCTTAGTCACGTCCGGATCAATCGATCGGTTCTGTCCGACGCTCCGGAACTTCTTTCTTCTTCGCACTTCGCAGGGACACCCAGATAGCGTGTAGGGAGCGTCGCCGAAAGCTTCGCTGAAGTCCCATCATACTTCTGAGGACCGTGTAGCCCTTTCAAGTACATCCTTGTGTCACAGCCACCGTTCCCACACTCGGAACTTCGTCCGAAGCCTCCGGAACCTCGATCATAATCCTTTCCAGTTGCACGGCCTTAACACAGACACATACTACTCTACTTATCTGCTTACTCACATTAGTCTCCTGTAGCTAGGCTTGAGGCTGTTCCCATTTCTGGGCCAGTCTCGAGAGCTTTAGACCCCAAGATTACAATATTGTGCCCAAACACTCTCACCTCTCTCTCACGCTCTCTCTCTCATTCAAGGAGTTGCAAGAATTGTATTAAGTTATAAATTGTACTGAAGCCAAGAATCCAAAAATTCAAACCAAGCTCAATGTTCCTGCCTACAACACCCTGTTACCATATTGGATAGGTAGAGAATTTCAGCAGACTTTCTTTCTGAAGTTCAATTTCATTTGAAAGAAAGAAGAAAAGGTCTTTGGAGCTCAAATGAAACTTTGGAGCGGAAAAATTTGAAGGTTTGATTGCCTCTATACGATTTATCGAGGTCCGGTTTTTAATATCGGGCGTATGGTCTAGAGGTATGATTCCTGCTTTGGGCCTTTGAAACTCTTATGCAGGAGGTCCCCGGTTCAATCCCGGGTGCGCCCCTTTTATTTTTTTTCAATGGCCAAAAATCGCATTAATGTTATCTAGACAAATTCCTTTTAAGAAGTCAAGTTAGCGCTCATCTGCTCTTCTCCTCCTTACCGGGATGTCGTCCGTGATACTTCGCGGCCAGCCGAAACCATCGTTGATCTCCCATGGTCTTTCGATAGTTCGAACCCTCCTTGCCACGGAGCAATTCCGGAAAGCAGGGCTGACGACAGCAGAAATGTATAGACTCGCATTGAAAGAGGCGCCTCCACCGAATTTCGAAAAGTACCCAGTACACGAGAACAGCGATACGGAAATTCGGTATACAAAGTCTGGTCAGAGGAAGACTCCCCCGCCGAATCCGCCGCATATGGAGCATCCTATTCGGTCGATGAGGTGCGCTTTTTATATAACCTTGTTCATTCAATTCGTTGGGATTTATTTTGTCATGTAGGTTCTTGAAAAGTCAGATATTGCCTATACTCGAGGGTCTGAAAGAGATTCGAATGACTACTGGAACAAGGTTTCATGCCGCTCCCGAAGTCAAGGTGAATTTAGGGAGCGCGAAAACGAAAACGAAAACCAAAGCGAAGGGAAATGGAAACAGCAAGCCAGATGTTGCTAGCTCATCGACTGCTTCACCCTCTTCTCCCACAACTATTTCGCATACCGTTCATTTATGGATGCCTACACAAAAGGCAAAGGTTACGAAGACAATTGACAATAAGCCTACTCCCTCCAACGTGTTTGGAACAGAGGTCGGGCGCGGAGCTGACTGGGATCATCTTAATAGACGCAGACAGAGGACGAGAGATGAAAAGGTCAAGCACGATGTGGATGTCATGGCGCAGGTCAGAAAGGCTGAGAAGCAGGAAAAGAAGAAGGTACTTTGGGAAGCGTTCATGAGAAAGAAGGCGAGGGATGCCAGGGCACCGAAGCCTGTGGTTGACGACCGTATTTCGGATTCATAATCTTTGCAAAAAGTACAGGTATAGTATTTGTCTTCGTTGAAAATGCGTCAGGAATAAAAGATTGTTCGTTCAGTAGAGTAGCGGTCAGGTCTGCCACAATTTCCCTTTTACAACTACTCTGCCTAAAGATAACTTATCACGACCCTCTGCCATCTTCACCGCAAAACTCAGAGCGTTCCATGCACGATCCTCCAAATACTGCGCCTGACGCGCTTTCTCTTCTTTATTCAGAGCCTTCTGGGTCGTATCAGGAACTGGAATCTGGTATTCTCGAGAATTTTTAGGCAGCTGAGCATTCCACACTGGGTATCTTCGACTTGTCATTCGGTCATACTCTGCGTAGTATAGTTGTGATAGATTCCGAGTAAGTTTGTGAGGAAGACCCCGCGAGGTAGCGGAGGCGTATAGAAGAGATAGTGTACGGTCCACTGCAGTTACTCATCTTCATCAATCGTACCGTCCAGAGTTAGATGCAAGTACAGACTTTGTGTCTCCCAATTCCTTAGCCAATTCCTTAGTAACTCTTGTTCTCGTTCACAGGGTTTTGCTTGCAGTTTTTCAATAACATGAGCGGCATCTGAGAATATTGGTCGCCAAAGAGCACGGATATTTCGCACAGCTAGACTCTGATGTAAAACAGATGCAGAGCTTGTCCGGAGAAATAATCGATACAGACTCGTGAAGGAAGATGGTAACAGAGGCATGTGGGCGCTTATCAGTCCGCCGGCGCCAACTCATCTGCTATACTCCTTGAGGATTTTATTCACAAAACTTTGTTGAAGACTCAATTTGCGCGACTGCTACTGTTCTCTGAACATGACATTGAATATGATACGACCATGAGCGTAAGTAGAGCATTCAAAAACATCGCACAGTAGGTATCAAAAAAAGATGAAAAGTAAGGAATTCCGAAGCATTGAACCACTGCTCATGACACTTTAAAAAGTCGCTGCCAAAATCTTGAGAAGTCTCGCCTGGGTTGCCGCGCGGCGGATACCAGCCCCCACAATCTCGCGCTCCATCAAAATCTCCGCCCTCTCTTGGAACTGCCCAATAGCAGACTCGCTGACCTCCCTCAAAGCATACTCGACGAGCTTATTGCAGCTTTCAGTGATCTTATCTTCCATTGGGCCCACGACGGACTGGGTATATTGGATAGTCACATCGTTCGCGGCTTCGTCTGCCATGTCATAGCAAGCCTTGAGCACAGACTCCCGAGCGACTGCAAACGCCTCGTCTACCTTCTTTGTGATCTCCTCCCGAACACGTGCAGACACCGCGTTCGTCACTATCTCGGTCATCTTCGCCTTGACGGTATCTGTGACCGCACTCTTGACATATTGAGCTGCCGCAACCGAGAGCTCCTGCGTCATCTCGGCGACGACATGCTCGGTCGTGGTCGTAGCGAGGGAACTGAATGCGGTTTTAAATGCTGCTTGGTCCCCGAGAGTACCAAGAACCCCGATAGGATCAGGCTCGGTAACCACCTTGAACTTCATCCAGCTTGCTTCGCTGAACAATGTAGAAATTTCGGTGGTGTCGGTAGCGACTTTGACGCCTAGGACTCCGTCGTATGTTTGGAGGTATCGACTGAGGTCCAAGGATGAGTGGGATGTAGTCCCCGATTCGTTCTTACACTCTGCGTGAAGGATGAATTCCTCAAGCCTGACGTCTTGACTGATTGAGAAAAACCCTTCTCGTCCCCAGACAAGTTGGCCGTCGATGACACCAATGTAGGAGTTGAGATCCAGTTCGGAATGGACATACTCCCTCTGACCCGCACGACGACATTCAGCGTGGAGGATAGAGCCGACCAACCGTAACGGTTTGTCGCGCAAGCTGAACTTGAAGTAGGAAGATGATCGCGCGGAGTAGCTCCTAGTACAGATTTAAAGGTTGTCAGTTAGTGCGAACCCAGACTTGCTTTATCTTGACTCACGATTTGTGGCTTGACTTGAATTCGCTGAACTGTTCCGCAAAACTATCTTCATATGAGGGAGGTGGCGAACCGGGACTGATAAGTAATGAAAGATGAGCATGAATTCAGATCATGTAAACAATGAGGAGTTGAAATAGACTCACGATCCAGGACGGGAGGCAGTACTTTCATTTCCTGTCACAGGCGTCGTAGAAGGTGGCGAGGTCACATCACTATTGGCAGAAGGAGGAACATAAACCAATCTTCCGGATACGATCTTGATTCTTTCGCTAAGATCGATGTGAGCTTCAACTGCTCGACCGTTGTGCTGCAGCTGGGCAGTAAGGTCGGAACCGCTGAGAGATGCACCCCTTGCATTCGACATAGCATCACGGCCACCCCATTGGAATCTTCCACGGACACTTCCAAGACATGTGTCGAGACTCAAGGATAGATCTTTGTTCGAGAATGTGATAACCAGGAATTTTCCTCCGACAATGTGAGGATTTTTCCAAGAAGCGGGGAAAGGCATGGTTCTACGGCGATTTTATGAGTACAAGGATTTAGCGGTGGAGAACCTGAACTTGCCAAGGGTGAAGGAGTCTAATATTTCAGATGTGGGATCAGAAAGTCTGGTGCAAAGACCAAGGAGGACTGGGGGGGTTTGGTGGAATAAGACTTGAGTGCGGTTCCCTTTTAAATGAAAAACTCGACGGGTCTTGTATTTACCCCAGAATGGTACTCCAGAGGGATGTCCAATCAGCAGTATTCCGGTTCAACTAGGGCCTGGGGTTACACCAGTGTTCCGTGGTCGAGCAAAACCTGCGCCTTGAACTTTTCATAAAAGATCATGTTTCTGATGCATGAAACAAGAAATGTAAAAAGCAGACATCCGAGGAAACGTTTCCCGAAAGACTGGCAGGAGTTATGTTAGATTGGTAGCTCCAAACTTGCCCCGGTGACAAAAAGCGCAGTGCGTGCTATGGCTATGTATACAACTTAAGAACCAGGACATTCAACATTTGACGAACATGAGCCAGGCCGCGCGTCGATATTGCTAGTGGTAGCTTGGAAATGCGTTGGATGAACGTGCTGAACACTTTTACCATAACCTGAAGGAGGTAATGATGATTCGGAGATTTCCTCAGAGGCCCTAAAAGATCACCCCCAAACTCACAAGAGCCCATTCGTTCGTTTATACTGGAGCCTGGCACAGCTGCACACGGTGCTTCACCTTTCAGCATTGTGCATGCGGCGGAAAAACTTGAATGAGCTGCATAAGGAAGAGAAGAGACGCAGATTGGACAAATCTTGGAAAAAAATCTTGGAACCAACGATTGCTCACAGGTAAACGATCGGTTTCATGGGTCATTGAACCTTGTTAGCTTCATACACCAACTTCCAGTAAGGATATGACATTGTAGAATACTTAGGGTCTGATTAATTCGCCTTCGTAGGGGAGGCCCAGAAGGGAAAGGGAACAGAAGATCCGGGTGGTACTTATCTTTACTGAGTGCGCGCTCGATTATCGATGGGGGAAGACACGAACGCAGTCAACAAGTTTTCACAGATGATCTGAGTTTTTGGGATACCGAACCCATGTCCGATGCGCAAAGACATCCTTCTTTACATGTACCACTCAATGTAATTAACGGAGGCTTGAAGCCTTGGTTGTTGGCAGACAGTTGACTTGCACGCCCTAATAAGCGCCTTTTTCCAAAGGAAAGTTCAAGAAAACCTCCATTTCCGATCTTCGAGGTCGAAGGTGCTCTTTGGATGGCATGATAGGAGTGGATGGGTCTGCAGTAGCTACAGCGCCAATAGCTGATCGTCATTCGAACGGTGAACGAAGCTGGAGAATATGTCCAGTGTCATCGGAAATTTACACGCTAAGGCGCCAAAATTTCGACCAATACTGCCTTAACAAAAAAAAAAAAACAAATTAAATGTAGCCTCTGACAACGGGAGTAGTAAAGGGATCTTACACGAGTGCGCCCGTTGTTGGTTCAGCCAGGCTGTTCCACTTACCTTCAGGAAATGAAACAACACAAGCTCCATATAAGAGTAATGTAAGGGTTTTTGGTGATTCAATTAGGTATATGGAATCCTGTTACATGGCTGCTCTA